AATCAGTAACGACTGAGTGTGGATTAAAAAAAAAAAAAGGTTAGATGTATTATCCTCTGCAGTCCTTTGGGGGTGGTATAAAACCATTCCTTTTTAGCAGCATTTATGCCCATTCGGAGATGGCTCTGTGGAATCTCTGAGCCACATGTTCCTTTGTTGCTCTCTTTACAGGAAGATCTATCTATCTATCTATCTATCTATCTATCTATCTATCTATCTATCTATCTATCTATCTATCTATCTATCTATCTATCTCATTCCCCTTATCTACTACAGTAATTGTTTAGTCAAAGGAGACAAGATTTGTTTCATGTGACCTATTCTGGACAATGCCATGCTGACTCTTAGCAATTATGACATTGTGTTTAAGATGGTTACAAATGACCTGTTTTATCATGTATTCTAACAATTTTCCAGATACTGATCTTAGGTTCATTAGTTGATAATTACTGGAATCCTTTTTTTTTTCCTTAAGAGGGGGACTACAGTCCTCCAGCACTTTTGCAGTTCCACATTTTTTTGAAATGGTTTGTCATTGGTTTTCTCCTAGGCCTGTGAGAGAATGATTGGTCCAAAGTTATCCAGTTGATTTCCATGCCTAAGGCAGGATTAAAACTCAGGTTTGCTTATTCCTAGTCTTGCACCTTAACCAGTAGGTCAATTATTAAAATCTCCCTCCCTCCCTCCCTCCCTCTCTAAAATCCATGGCATGTGTTTGACTGTTTTTTTAACCAGTTTTTTTTAAAAAAAATATTAAAATCAAGAACTCTAACAATGGGTTAATTGCACTCAGAGTCCTCAGCACTTTAATATTATCAGTCACCTCCTTCCTGTTAGTAAGGACCATCTCTAAAGTAGTAGATTTCCTGAGGCCCACTTAAACCTTTTGAAAGAAAAAATGTCAAGAATTGTCCTGACACCTTGTATTTGGCAGAATTAATCTTCCAACAGATGTCTGAGGAGTTTAAAGTTTCTATCATAACCAATTCATTTTTTTAGGCTTCAGTTATCTGCTTTGATAAATCTTCATTTGCTCTTGTGATTGGTTTGGTTGTCTATAGCAGATTCCTAGCAAGACACTCCTTCTGTTAGCTTGCCCTTTTATCTTAATCCAGATGTTACCATCAGGAAGTGTACTCATCAAACCCAATGTCCTACCAGTGGGATTCATCCCACCATGTTTCTGTGATCCCTATTATATCATACTTGATTTTGTTCCTCATTACATTCAGCTCATCCATACTTCATTCTTTAGTGTAGAGACATTTCAGATAATGGGATAGACTCCCTATGTTCAATCTCCTTTTTCCTTTATGTCTGAATTTCCTTTTTTTTTCTATTAAACTTAAACTTCCTGATGTGTTCAGTCTATTACGTGCCAATGTGTTACTCATCCATGACCTTACAACTCCTTTCCCCTTGTATTTTAGTTTTAACCCCTCCTGATCAGGTTAGTCAGTTCTTTTCTAAAGATGTAGTTTCCCACTTAGTGAGATGAAGTCTATGTCTGCAAAGCCATCCTTCTTTCCACAAGTTTGCACTACTGTTGAAATCCCAAACTTGGACCAACATTGCCAGTGGAAGTTCACTAGAAAAACTTCTTTTCATTTTTCTGGCTTTTGCTTTCAATGGGAAGTACTAATGATAAGCCCACTTGTACCCCAAGGTCCTTCACCCTCTTCCCCAAAGCCATAAAGTCACTAGTGATACACTGGAGGTAACGCTTTGTAGTATCATTTGTGCTCGCATGAATAAGTAAGAAAGATCTGACAAGGCTCATTAGACCTGCTGAGGCTTGTCAGTCTTTCCATCACATCTTGGATTCAAGCACCTGAGAGACAACATACTGTACATGTCAAGATGAAAGATCTGGATGACAAATGGAAACTTCACTCTCTTGTGCCTCTCAAGAGAGAGTTACCTACAATTCTTCTCTTCTTCTTGGTAACTGGTGATGGATTACTGGCACTTGGATCAAGCTGTAGGAGGATTTTTTTTTTTTTAGCTCGTTCATGTTTGTAGAAGCTTCCTTGGAGGCTAGAGGTTGGAAATGATAGTCCAAGTCTAGAAAAATGGTCTGCTTTGTAGTTGTTTCACTTCTGATGGTAGTATGTTGCAAGCTGCCTTCATTCTTATCCTTTCATGAAATTGTAAGTTTCACACTGCTTTCCTGCTTGTGATGCCCACATGGATGAGTAATGGATCCACACTATTATTGAAGAAGTCTTCATCTTGAATGAATTAGGGGTTAGCATGATACTCTGGTCTCCAGTCAGCATACTAAACCTAGCTAAACTTTGTTACTTATTACCTCTTTAAATAAATTATTGGGTTTCAACTTATTTTAGGGTTCATTGTAGAGGGAACAATAGAAAAGATAAATTATTTGAATCTTCTGTATGAATGTTATTAGGCAGTCTCTCCGCTTCTTCTGTTTTCTTGAGTAGTATCCTAGTTTCACAGAATGTAGGAGACAATGTAAACCCAGCTTTTTGGGAAAACTCTTGCTTTGCTTAGTCAAGGAAAATGCTCCATCTCTGATGTCCTAGGTTTAGCCAACGTATCAAAAATTGCCTATTCTCTGAACCCACCTTCCTTAAAGATCTGGTGGGAGAATGATAAAAGCAGTCTGATTTTTGTCAGTTATGGCTTTGTCTAAAAAGTTTATATAGGAGTTGCTTTTTGGGGAAGCAAACACTGAATTCTGTTTAGGCATTTCAGCAAAAGGTTAATGTATTAGATGCTCTAGGGGGCACTGTGGTGCCATACTAGGTTTGTCACACATATAAGCCCTATGACTAAAAGAATATCAAAGCCCATTAATTCTAAGGAGAGGCTTTTTTGAATTTTGGCGAGGGTTTTATTTTATTTTTTTAAATTCTGGCATGGGGGAAAGAGAAATCAACTGAATAAGCAATTGAGACTTTGATGTCTCTGAAGGATGGACATGATATGAGAACTTACAGAGTCATGCAAAAACTTAGAGGGGAGAAAGTAAACATGCCTCTAGAAAAATATCATAACAGACTGTCACTAAAGAACTGAAGAAGAGATGGGGAATGTTTGGATGTTCAAGTAGTCAAAGGGCTGGGCAAGTTTATGAGGAAAAAAAAATCTGCAGCAGGGAAAGATATGGTGGAAGAGCATATACAAATTGGACTACGTACTGAATAGTAGTGGCATTATCTAGGCAACCTGTAAATGGGGTGTGTATGAAATATTCTGCTGGCGTGGTAAAATGGTTGTCTCAAAGGTCCTTGAGAGTCTGCTCTCACCCATAATGAAATGTGTAAAAAAAGAGAAAAGTCCTCGAATTTATTGATCAGGAGCAGGGAGTATTAACTTGTTTTGATCTTTGATCCTTGCACATTAGAAAACCAAACAATGATTTTTCACCACTGCAAAATTGCACACCAGCTCTCATTCCAGGTCATGTTTGATTTGAGTTCAGATGTAGTTATACAATGCTTCAGGCCAACTAGAGCTCCAGGCGCTCTCTCCCCAAAGCTTTGGAAAGTGTGTCTGAAGGTCCAATTGGTCTGAACTGCCAGGAGTGATGATGTGACAGGCACTATATCTCAGGCCTCTTCATGCTCCTGTAAATTGCCATAGGAATCAAGGAACCATTGCAGCCCCTCCCACATCATCCATTGGACCCCTGAATTTATTTGTTATTGTGCTTACAGACTGCATACTACATGTTCAACTATATCAGAAACTAAGATATACCAGTGAGAGCAAGAGGAGGCAAGCTGCTATCTTCCAGATTTCTGAAATTTCTGTTCAGCGCCAGTCAGGGTGGGTGATGGCAAGGGTGGATAGATGTTATCCAAAACTTCTGAAGAGCACCAAGTTGCTAGTCTTGGAAGTAGAGCTCTGTCTTAAAAGTGGAAACCTTGATTTAGATCTTGGATCAGCTACAAAGCTTATTGGGTATGCTCAGACCATTCATCCAGCCCAACCTGCCCCCAAGAGTGATTCAGATAAGGAGGGGAGGGGGCTACATATTCTACCTTGATGCCATTGGAGGGAGGGCAGGTTTATTGTTATAAACCGTACATTTGGGGATGCTGAATCAGTACTCTGAAGGGGGAATGACAGAGATGCAATTTATATCACTCAATAGATTGAGATCAGACCACCTCCTCGTTTTCACCCTTTCAGGGGTTTCTGTTTTAAAAAGAAAAAGTAAAAACACCCGAGAATCATAGTCTACCTATATTAATTCTAATTTCTGAATAAAAGTACAGAATGCCATTATTACATTATTTAGCAGTTAGTCACCAAATTGGGGGCATTCATTCAAGGGGCACAGAAAAAGTTCTTGTGGGACTTTGTGGCCTATAAACTGCTGGAGTTGCTTAGAATTTCTACTTTGTGGCTCTTTCCAATTTCTGTCTGTTCTACTTCAGAAACTGGCAAAGTTTGAATTAATTAAATACGATATTGACCAGGATGAGGTTGTGAGGAATGAAAACGGATACTGCCTCCCGGTGGCCCCAGGTATGTTCATAAAATTTCTGTTTGGACACGGATTGGGCTTTGAGTTATAGGCTGCTTCCAGGGATGAAACAGGTCCTCCCCTCACTGCCAATGGTCAGATGTTGCTGTGGTCAGTCACAGACCTTAAAGGTTAAGTCCTGGGTTGTCTCAGTGCCAGCTATGAGTTTTCCACTGAACAGGGAAAACTTGGTCACAGCAGTGAATGAGTTGCAAGTTCAGTTGCATGGGGAGGGTTACATGAGATACCTGGAGAAATCTGATTCATCCCTCCTCCCAGCTCTTGGGATCCCAATATGAAGGCTGCACTTCATGTTTGAGTAAAGGGATTAAAATATGGTACTCTGAAGATAACAGATGACAAGCCTAGAAAAGTCAGCAGTTTAGCCTTTTCCTGTTTTATGGAGGAAGAAAAGTGTTTATGTATTTGGTGTAAACCTGAGCAGTGGGGAGACACCCTTGCTGTGAGCCAGGAAATGATTGGCTGATACCTGACTGTGCTCAGGCATTGACTTAGAGGAGGGTGTGTGTGTGTGCGCTAATTGGCCATAAGTTCTCTGCAGGCATTGCAATTATATAAACAAGTCTGTGCACATCCAGTCGCTTTCTAATGGCTACAGCAATCAAAACAGCTCAGATCAGTACCATATCTCTTTTTTCCATGTGAAGTAGATGACTTGATATTGTAGGAGGAGGGTGTGTTAGTCTATGGTAGCAAAGAATCAGAAGGAAACTAAACTGACATCTTAGTTTATTGCAGAGTTTGGTTTTACTTTGCCCCCACATTTATATTTACACTAACAGGATCATCACAGACTCCAACAAATGCACACACAAGATTAAAGCTGCCTTCACATACGCTTCTTCTAATGTGGCATATGTCATCATCTGCTAGCAATGACCCCATGGATTCTACATAGGACAAACAGGACAAGCTTTGTGCCAATTAATTAATGGACACAAATCTGATATTGAGACTCAAAACAAAGACAAAGTAATATCAGAGCATTTTAACTTCCCAGGATGCTCTGTGCATCTGATGAAGTGATCTAAGCTTGCAAAAGCTTATGCCTTTTTAATAAAACTTGTTGGAAAAGGTGCTACCAGATAGATGACTTGAGTGACAGAAAGGCTGGTTATCCAGCAACACCTTAGCCTCTTTTTAGAGATGTGTTTGGGACTCGCGTTACTCTTGAGCCTGGGTTTTTCAGGACAAAGGCCCCAGGCCATTTATGCACATTAGAGATTATTCTAATTTTTTTCCAGCCTCCTGTCTACTATATAGCACTCTTGTTCACTTATGGCCATGTATCTGGAGGGCAGACTTGCAGCCTCAGGCCTTCTAATTCTAAATATAGAATTATTAAATGTATTGGTAATAAGGGTGTTAATCAAAAGTGAATTGTCAAATATTGTTTTCATCTTGGTCCCAACCACTCAAAGGTCAAGTGTAGCTCAGCCCCCCTGCACCAACTGTACACTATTCATTCATTAACCTGAAACATAGTGATGGCTACTCACCTGGATGGGTTTAAAAAAGGACTGAATAAATTTATGAAGGACAGATCTATCAACAGCTATTCATCTTGAGATTTGATGCTACCTCCATGTTGGAGGCAGCATGTCTCCGAATACCAGCTGCAGGGGATCAACAGCAAGAAAGAGAGATCTCTCTATCTCTTGCTTGTGAACACCCCAGAGCCATCTGGTTGGTCTTTTAGGAAAACAAAATGCTGGATTAAGATGGCCATGGCTATTCTTATGTTTTTATGATTTTGCCCCCATTATATACTGATAGTAGATTCATTCAGCAAGTGCCATTTCTATAGAATGATCCAAGGAAGAAGATACCCACAGAAAACCTTGATGGGCAGAACCAAACAGCCAGATAGAGCAAGCTCAGAGGCCACCAGTGTTGATACTGGCATCCTACCTGTTTCTGTAGCAGATGGAAGTGGTGCCACTCTACAACTTCCATTCTATTCCAGTACCAGGGAAAGTGCTAGTAGTTACAGTAATTCTTCCTCCCCATGTTTCCATCGCCCCCTTTCCCTAAAAGATGGGGCACAGCTATTAGCCTCAGATTGCTGAGTGATGCCAAGGGGAAACAAAAAATCACAGTGGGTTGAGGGGTGAGAGTATTCTGAGAAGAAACATGGCTAGTTGGCTAATGTAAAGAGTAAGAAAGATGACCTTGATGGAAATAATGCAGGAACCAGTATCTAGGAAAAAGGGGCTGAACCCTTTTCTTAAATGCAGAAATATGAGATAACATTCAGAAGCAGCTGAGACAGACACGTGCTTAATTCAGTAGGGTATAAGAAGGGGGAGGACGTAAAGCACAATGAGACTTGCAAGATTCTATTATTATAGCCAATCTCAATCAAAGTAGTTTTAGCATTCTGATGGGGTTGATTTCCTGGTCTGGTCTATGCAATGGGGCTGATAGCTAGAACCCTGCTGAATCCTCCAATTGGCACCATGCTATTGCAAGTGCCATTTGTTAAATATAAAATAAAATTATACTTCATCATAAACAATTATGTACCAATAATAAAAAAATTCCCACACACCTTGTAAATATACCAAACCAGCTTCCTAACTTGGGGCTTCCAGGTAAACTGGGGGCTACAATTCCTAGAAATCCCAACCAGCATGGCCAGGTGAAGAAAGTCTGTTCTAAACCAACTTAAACATTACAGTTATATATTTTAAAAACAAACTGTCCAATTTGCTTGACACCAAGATTGTTCTATATGTTAATAATAAGATAAAAAAGGGGCAACCATTTCTGGGCTGTAAGTGACAAGGTCTCTTTGCTCCCTTCTAGTGGTTATCTGGCATTTTGCAACCAGATCTGGGAGCCCTTGGATCAAAGCCCATTCTCAGTCAGAATAAAGAATCCTGTGTTTAAGGATGAACATATTCCTTTCAATGGTTGAACAGTAATGCTTAGCTGGTAATCCAATGCTGCCTATCAGTGGCACCCCATAATAATGACGACCGCCTTCCTCCAGACCGCAAAGGAGGATTTAAAGGAGATCTTAAAAATAATGATCAGTGGTAGGTAACTTAGACTTAGATTTAGCTCTAAATACAGAGTTGGACAACGTTAACTTAACTCTCCTCAGACCTACTGTGGGCACCGCTGGCATTGGCTTTAAAACTAACCCTTACTTACTGTACCTTTTCTAACATTGAGATGCAGTCATAGTCTACCAAAAACAGGACCTTTCTAGGCACTTTGTCTCTATTGCTCTTTCATTTTTCACATCTGTAGCCACACAGAGGAAGGGAGTGAAAAATGAATGCCGTTATGGGTTTTTTCCCCCACTATGGTTGGGGTGGTGGGGAGGAAAACACAGGGGAAGTGGACCACAAAGTGGCAGCCCCTTGCCTCCTTTGTGATGGCTGAGTGGACAAAACAGAGCCAGCCATCCCTAATTATGTCTACTGACTACTATTCAAGTCATGGGAACTGGGCCCTGGTGATGTGTAGACTGTCTGAATATGATTGACCTTTTGGGGGGGGAGGAAAGAGCCTGTTTCTCCATTGTTAGATTTTCTTTGTTAATTCTTTCTGAAAGGTGGTTACATATTCATAGTCTACTAGTAAGAGATGCAAAAGCAGAACAAGTTGCACTAATAAAAATTTCCTTTTGCACAACTCTTAAAGGTGCAAGAATGTTACCCACTTTTGCATCTGGCTTTCCTGACTTAAATCATATTCTTGGGACAGCATAGGTTTGTTAGATTTCCCCTCCAAAGTCTAGACTGGAGCTCCAACCTCAAATGGAGAAATCCAACAATTTCCTTCTTTTATCATGGTGGTGGTTGTTTTTCCCTGAGATTGGGGAACCCCAACATTGGAGAGCTCCTAAAGGAGGTGTGACCAATGTTGGGCGATTTATAGAAAAGCTAGTCTAATTTTTCTCTCAAGCTGAAGTCAAGGATAGACTTGCCTGCCTCTGATAATAGGATTTGTAGTAAACTGTTGATTCTGTTAACTATTACACTGATTTTATTTTAATAATTCTATTGAAGCATTTAGAAACCACTTTTAAGAGTCAAATCCATATTTGGTGATGCACAACTTTGTACAGATATATAGGACACCTGTTCATGAGGTTAAGGAAGGGAAACAAGTAAGGGCCATACTTTCAATAGAAAGGGATGCATCAATCAATTAGACAAAAGTTTCATAACTTTTGGGCTACCACTAAAAAGGCTGTATTAAGTTCACTTTTCTAAATCTGTGCTTTCCTCTAAATAAAAGCAACTATTTGAATGTAATTTACTACTTCTGAGAATTAGAAACATTTTTCACATACTGATATTGTACACAGAATTAATATGACATTTGCTTGATTAGCTTATCAAAATTAAATAAGAAAATCAATTTTTAATTATTGCTGGAAATGTTCTAGAATGTTTTCTGGAAAACCCAATAACCTGAGTTGAAAATAATGTCTTTGCCAGAGAATGAATATTAATTGATTCCAAATTGCAGGTGAAACAGGTTTACTAGTGTCCAAGATCACTGTGAGGACTCCATTCCATGGCTATGCAGGAGACCCTCAGAAAACAAAGAAAAAGATTCTCCAGGATGTCCTAGAGAAGGGAGACAGCTACTTCAACAGTGGTGACCTCTTGATGCAAGACCATGATGGCTTTATATATTTCCAGGACCGAGTGGGAGATACTTTCCGGTGAGTCCCACAGACATTAAGGGTTGATCTGAACTCCCTGCTTACTCTAGCACAGATATTGTACAGGCTATCTATCATTTTGGGAGGTCAGGAATAGATGACATCCTCAGCCCATTCCTAGGCTGCTGGGAAGAAGATCTCCATCTAAGTTCTCTAGCTCTAGGAGTACTTTCCCCCTCTTTTGGTGCAAACGGGACAGTCCAGTCTGCCTGCTTCTTTTCACTCAGTCCTACATAAATGCCTCCATTCCAGTTGGCCAGTGTGTCTTTTGCCTTGGGCAACCATTTTATACTGGGTTGCTGGGCTTCCTCTTTTCCTGGCATGGGTGGAAGGGGAAAAGGATGGTAGGAGTCCACCAACTGAGGGCTGTGTTAACTACCATCAAGGCAGCATACCTGGCCATTCCTGTGGGCACAGTGACAGAAGCAGCTGAAAGCCAGAAAAGGATTTCGTAAGCCAGCTTTATTTCTAGACAGTTCATGCCCAGGAGATAAGTGACTAAAGGCAGCAACGGATATCCTTTGGATTGCAGAATCTGCATTCAATATATCTGGGGATGATGTAATAATGCTAATTGGACAGAGTCACATTATGAACAATGGATTTCTTTCTTTCTGGGGGGAGCGGGGATTGGCTTTTATTTTCTTTTATGTGTACAGGGGTGTGTGTTAAACCAGTGCAGAATTTTGGTGATGAATAAAAAAGAAACTTCCAAAACTCAAACCTCAGCTGTTATGTGGTCTCTGGGCTGAGACAGACAGGTAGACAGACAGACAGATGTAGCAGGTTGAACATTTCAGAGAGCTACGGGGAAAGTAGATAAGGAGATAACTTGTGAACCAGGAAGTGTCCAGTCTGAATCTGCTATAAACCCAGGGCCACCATTAGGAGGGAATGCAGAAGGGCCTCAGCTGAGGTTTACAGCTACATAATAATAACAAACGAAGTCATTTTTGGCAAATCCAGTAATAAAAGTGAACAAATGGTGGTAATAACTTCTTTTTCACTGTACTATAGATGGAAAGGGGAGAATGTGGCTACTACAGAAGTTGAGACAATCCTTGCTATGCTGGAATTTATTCAAGAAGTCAATGTGTATGGAGTACCAGTGCCAGGTAGATCAAAATGTATTCTTTAAGAAACCTATCTTTAGTGGCTGTAAAAAAATGACATCCAGTATCTTACCAGGCATTGCATGACCTATCCGTTACAATCTTTAGGGATATTGATCACATTGCAAATATAAAGATAAGGTCTTATTTTTTTGAAGCATAATAGTCAACCCAAATATTTCTGAAAAGGTTTACAATACATGCAAGTAAAAGATGTGGTTTATTGTGAAATGCCAGTCTAATCTGATGTATGGGAGTAGGGCTGACTACTTAAAAATTGAAGATAAGAATTACAGCATTTTTTAATAAAATTAAACATAAAAGTAAAACATAATATTTAGGCAAACTATTTTTTGTGGTGGCACAGCAGCTGAATGATGCTGGAAGTTGCTGGCCAGAAATGGTCGACGCTTCAGTGGTTCGAGCCCAAGCTCCGCGTGGCGGGGTGAGCTCCCGTCTTGCGCCCTCAGCTCCTGCCCACCTAGCAGCTCGAAAGTGTAAGCGAGTAGATAAATAGATACTCTCACCCTGGTGGGAGGAAAAACGCTGGCGGCGCCCTGCAAGGGAAAACAGGAATCGGTTGCCAGTTGCTGGACGCAATGCAATGGAAGAGATTTGATTTCCGGTGACTGCCAGCTGGGCTCCACCCTAGGAAGGAGGCAATGGCAAACCACTTCCAAAAAAACCTTGCCAGGAAAACTACAGGGACTCGTTCAGGCAGTCTCCATAGAATCAGTCACGATTGAAAGCGGATTTAAAAAAAAAATTTTTTTAACCACCTGGACATAGCAGATTTTGGGAAGGTGGTTATGGTAGGATGGCTGTAGAATAGGTTTTCTAGGCATGGAAGAGACAGTTTTAAAGACAAAATTACTCAGGAAGGAGACAGTATGGATTTTAAGTTTTGGCAGAGTAATTATGGATGGTTACATGAACATTGAACATATATGTCTCTCTATGTGTGTATTTACATACACAAACAACTTAAGTAGTGTTTGCTCAAAGTTCCATGTTTTGGTTCTTGTTTTTGTTTTCAAAGGGGGACAGAAATAGAGGTTGCCAATTTAAGCACTGTTACAAATCTTCAAGTTTTTCTGTTGTTTTACATTTCACTATGATCCATATTAGTTGCAGGAAAATAAAAATTGCAGGGTTGTCTTTGGTGGCTAGATTTTAGAGAACACTAGACAAACTGTGACCTGCTGGGTCATCGTTTCAGAGATATTTCCTTACCTAAACAGAGAAACAGAAAAAAAAGCAGTGGGAGTGTGAGCAACTTGCGACTTGCTGCTGGCTTCCCCATTGACTTTGCTTGTGGGAA